CTCGAGGCTGCCGCGGATTCAAACTGGTTGGCCTGCCGTCTGGAAGTCAGAAAAGAATTTCCTCATGGGCACGAGAGGTTCAGGTGGCTGTCACCGAGAAGCGAAATGCATTGAAAACATGGCTTGGAAGCAGAAAGCCTTCAACTCGAATGCAGGACGAATAAGCACACAATGCGCAGCGCAGTAGCCAATGCGAAAGCTGATTCCTGTGAAGCGTCAGAGTAGAATTTCTAGACTGCGAATAAGGTTTTTCTGGCATGTCATTCGCCGTTTGCGAGATGAAGGAAATGTAGTCTGAGAGTCATGAAGGATAAGTCTTGGCGCCCTCTTACCAAGGATAAGGACATACTTCGGCGATAGAGTGAGCACTTTGGTGGACTTTTCTTATACAGAATGACCGCAAGAAGATTTACATGGAAAACAGTAGAGGACGGATATTACTCTTTCAGCAGATGAAGTCACAGAAGCTGTAAAACCTTGAAAAGTAGCAGAGCTGCAGGAATCGATGAAATCTGCTCTGTAATTCTTGATACTCATGATGGTATTAACACGTGTCTGTGAAACAGCAGTGACAACGGGGAAGACACTTGACTGGAGAACTATGGTAGCAGTACCCCTCTTCAAGAAGTAAGAACGCGAGAAGTGTACCATTTATCGGGCCATTACGTTGTTTGACTTCCAGAGGAAATTCTATGCAAAGGTTCTAGAAAAGAGATGCTGCGAAAAAGAAAGTGACTCTAAGACTAAAGAAGAGCAGTGTTGGTACAGGTCCGACCAAATTCCATCTGACCAAAGAATCGCCTTATGCCAGAATGTTGAGAAATCGTGGAAGTGCGCTCACCCAGTTTAGATGCCGTTTATGGACGTAGAGAAAGCCTATGACCAAATCCCGCGTAACGATCTATGGCCACGCCTGCGAAAATAGGGGATCGATGGCCAGTTGCTACAGGCCATCCAACCACTATCACTGATAGCAGGTGCTGCGTCAGAGTAAATGGCGTTAAGTCGAAGCCTTTCAACAATGACCCTGGTCTCCGCTAAGGCTGCGTTTTGTCTCCTCTCCAGTTTGTGCTGTACAGTGATGTAATAAATAGGCGCGCGCAAGCTACGAGCATGTTAGGGTTCGAAAAAGTTGTTTGTTGACGATCAAAAAGTTGTTTTGTTATCGTCTGCTGATACCGATCTCCACCGCTCTCTGGAAAGGTTCGCAGCCTAATGCGAGGTGGCAGGCATGCGTATGAACGTATCTAAAACGAAAAGCGCAATGCTTTCTTGTTTTCACGCCCTTTGCACTCTCCACATTACCGGAGAAGCAGTGAAATAGATGAAGTTCCAGTACCTCGGGGTCGTGTTTACTGGTAAAAATGGGAGGAAGAGGTTGACTGGCAAATTGGAATGGCCAGCGGCATTTTTGTGAACTGGTCTGAATCGTTGTGACTGCTGAAGCGAAACTAAGCCTGAAGATTAACCTCTCTGTGGTCAAGTCCATCTTCCTCTCCGTGCTCATCTGCCGTCGTGGGCGAGAGCTGAAATACTTCGACCGCTGGTACAAGCGGCTGAAATGGGCTTTTGAGTCGAATCGCTAGGCTCACGCGTCTCGACATGGTCCGCTATACAGATATCCGCGAAAGCAATGGTGTACAGCCGTAGTTCTTCCGACTGGAAATCATAACTGTGATGATTTGCACACATTTTGTAAGTGCTTTCAGAAAAGGAAACGAATCAGATACTATATTCCCAATAGACCGCCTAAAAACCCGGGGGACGGCGAAGAATATCTTGGAGCAAGTGCATGGAAGTAAAATGCTACGGAGCAGTTATCTTCAGTGGAAGTTCAGACGCTGACACAAGATCTGGAATGTTGAGAACACCGCTTGATGCGTGTGCGTTTGCAACCTGCAGGAATAAGCAGTCACCGAAATTGACTTCCTGAAACAAACCTCGTTTTCCAGCAATGAGTGCAATATGAATTCCTCATCTGAGCCCGATTTTTCTGCCCGTCCATTATCCCTTTTAAGAAAATGAACTTTTTTCAGTAAATAAACTCGTATAGCCAAAAACGCCACTAATTTGATTTCGAAATTTACGAAAGCCATACGGTTGTATTCAAGAAGCAACACAGCAGACGATTATCGGCACTAGCAGAGCATGGTCAGACATTATAGGCTAAAGTGATGAATTTGACTATGTCAAAGACGATAATTCCGGTCTGGTTTTCTCTCTTAGACGAAAACCTGCTGGGAACATCGTCATGAATGTCGTAAGGGGGTACTTTAAACAACCTGAAGCAAAGGACAGCGTTTTCTTTATAACGCTTTAGCATTGTCACAACGCAGTTAAGCAGTTGTATCCGTCAAACGTTTCTTTTCATGAGCTTTTAACTAGGTTCGCTGAACATGTGTTTGGTGCCTGATTGGGATAAATGAAATATTGTTTTTATAAGTTTGCGCTTTTTATAGTAACGGCGTTATGTGAGCTTTCGTCTTTGGAACAGCTTTCTGCTTTTGTAGCGCAAGTGCGATCACAATAAGCATTTCGACGTTATGCAATTCGGGGCGCGCTTGTCCAATGGCGTTTTTTGTCATTTACTTGATGTGAAAGCGACTTGGAAGCATTTGTAGCTTAACCGCAAGTGTCCACAGAGTGGCAGCGGATATCGTGACCACGTCCGTTTCTGCATTGCTGTCGTAAGCAACACGAATAATCGATCTGTTTCTTATTTCGAGGACCCTCGTTCACAACGCATGCCAAGAAGCCATACGTCCTTTCCATCCAATCTCCTCATCAATCTAGCCAGCAGCTATCAAAGCTTAAATGTGACATCTACCGCATTTCCGTTGATTGATTAGCATCATCCGGAACGAGAAATGAGGTAAGTAGAGGCGAATCGGCCCGCTCCGTTCAATAGCAGCAAAGACTGCCCGCACTTATAATTGTTGCCATCACGATGGCCATTTATGAGGATAAGGAATGGCGGTGCCGAGCACCAAGATTCTAACCTAGGTATTTCAAGTATCGTAAAATTGATTTTTTTGTCATTTAATGCGTAGCACCCTCCCGCGTGTCACCGCGTAGCTGGATGGACAAATGGACGGCTAGTGAAGACGGCTCGCCCAACGTATGAGTCACGACAGATTTCAGATGAATAGCCGTCCGTCCGCTTGAACAGGCAATTCAATGAAAATAATGCAGTTGTTGAAGTGAAACCCGGAAACGCACGAGCAGGTCACCTCTGCGATGATTAGTACGCACCGAGGTACACACAAGTGGCCAGTGAAGTGTAGATTGGCGGCCTGCAGCTTCCATGCAGTTTTCTTACAGCACACGTATATCTACGTGCTAGTTTTCCAGAAACTTCGTAATGCAATCCGTTCTGCGATAGATGTCACAGAGTTGTTCCCAGCAACAGTTCAAACGAGAGACTGTCTGATTCCACAAAAGGCTGGACTCACTGCTCACCTGATCCGTAACTGGGAAGACCTCGGAAAAACTGCCATGCTTTCTTCCGTTTGACAGTTCTTTTATTCAATAAATTGTTTCTTTATACCGTTTCAAATCCGGAAAAACGCAGAAAGGTAAGCAATCAATCATCACCAGCGATTTTACACATGATGATGCGAATACACTGACGTTTATATTGTGTATTGTACAAGGCCTAGTGGTAACCACAACTGCACAGCAAATGCTGATTAAAGCAGAGGATCATATACTGATGCGGGTAGAGATTAAACGTTTTTTAATTAGTTGTTACTGTAACTACGAAGGCCTGTAATGAACACTGAAACCGTCTGCTAATGACTAAGAGGCAGTGACAGATGCGCACAAACGTGTCTCCTCGTACCTTTAAGATGGAAGATTAAGATAGTTTAGAAATATTTTCATCAGGTCACGTAAACTTCCCCCTGAAAAGATACATATGATCTATATTGATTCGGATGTATACGATATGTTGAATGCATGGTTTTGTTTCATCCAATGCTTTTGTCTAATTATTTTATTTACTTTCGAAACGTGAGACATCCATATTTTTGCTGAAAAATTACTTATTATAGATCATCAGACATGGAACAGACTCTTGAGGAACAAAAAAATGTTCCTCAAATGTTTTACCCTTGCCATTTGGTTATATTCTTGGCGCAGAAAGAGCATGTCATGCAGAATCATTTCTTTTGGATTGGCTTGACAAGAACGAACAAATGAAACGCTTATTCGTTCGTGAAACGAAAATTGACAAAGTATAACGCGAAATATAACGCACAAACAAAAATAAACACACAATCTGAAATATAACTTGGAACTCGCAAATATGCGCAGTGAACGGTAAACGACTAATTTGCTGCCCGGTCGACACCGAGGCGTAAAATCGAAGTGGACAACGGAGCGAACGGGAACAACAAAGTGCGACGACGAACTAAGTGAAACTTTAAAGTTTAAGTGATACGAGCTAACAGCCGTAAAACGCTATACACAGTTGATATGAGTCACAAACTTTAAAACTAACTTTCAACACAACACAACAATAAACTTGTAAAAACAAAACTGTCAAAGTAACGCCAGCGAATGTGAACATACACGCCTTAACGGTTACACGTACGACGACCCATAACTAATAACGAACTGCTAAGGGGCTAACGCCAATCGATCAACATACAAAACGATACTATAACAATGTTAAAGCTGAGTTGCAGCGAGAGACACTGTTCTCTGGTCGAAAACTGGTGCCACCCGTGCGTATGTATAATAACTGGGTGAAATGAATGTCAATATAAGAAGATACATAAATGAAGCAGTGTGACCTGAACGTAGATTTCCTGACACTGTTTAAAATTTGAACAAAATGTAACGTAACGACAATGTGGCAATATCGAAAACAATAACCTAGAAAACTAAACTCTTCGCTTTACACCCGGATAATCATAAAGTTTGAGAAACAAAATGTAGGTGTCGCCTAATATTGCAGAAGGTAAGAAAACGTCGAAAACAAAAATAATGTTTCTCGACTAGAGACCGTGAACGGCGGGAACGATATTGCTTGAGAGTGAAGAAGAAAATCTGACAGCACCGGTAATGGCGCCCTGGCAAATCGGGCAGACGGGCTTCGGCATTTGACATAGGCGTGTCGCGCACACGTAGCAAAAGCAACGATGGCCACAAGGCATCAGCGACGCTTCCACCGAGCTGTTCTGGCACACATGGCAAGAGGCAGAGGAAAACGTGTAACGTTGCGTCGATTGGCGCCCAAAATTGACCACTTGTTGAGTCACAGTGTTCACCATCCCTTGCAACTGACCATTTGCCATCGGCGTCGGCGTTTTCTCCGAGTCGAAATCTAGAGTGAATACAGCGACTGCAATTACCAAACAATACGCCGTCAAACGCCACAAAATGTCGTTTTTTGAAAACGCAAACGTTCATCTCATCTTCAACATTATCATTAACTTCATTATACATGAATTTTTCGACGGTATCGACTGTTTTCAAATGTTTTCTTTGTTTTGACACAAGTTTCGTTTGCAAAACGACCGAACGACTCTGTCCTATAGCGTTAGATAAACATCACTAGTCCCTTTCCTCATCTAGAGACCGGAAGCACATAAAAGTGCAAAAATGTAACCGACACAGCCGTCAATCATCCAGGTTACAACTAACGTCGGTAGTGAACTGAATTATGCAGCATACAGTTAGTACACTTGCAATTAATCCACACCAGACGAATAAACGAGGTAATATAATAAATTCTGACAAAAATTACCCCCGATACATAGGGGTACCACATGAACTTCAGTAATCATTGTATGTTACTACTTTGATAACCTGCAAATGCGACGCAGCTTACGTCTTGATAATTGATTAAGACAGAGAGACAGACTCAAGCAACTGATAAGACATTTGCATTCTGCTGAAGAGGGAATCGCTAGAAACACGAGCCGGAGGAATGACTCTAATTGTTACCTAATACCGAAAGCATGGCGCTTGACATGGTGGCGTATTTAAAACGTTTATTGTCGCCTCCATGACGGCTATTACCAGTGTTTAAGCGACCAAAGCATCATAACCTATATGCAATCAGCCACAAAAATAGAAAAGTAAAAACTTCCCATTTATTAGCATTTGTTTATTTTTCTCCTTTCGTTGCGTTCAAATAGCTGCCTTTTACAGATTTCAAGCGCAGGAAAAATTCGCCGAAAAAACAACCTCTAACCCGATTGAAACGGGCAAAGTAAACGGTAGCAGCTAAAGGATACGAAATTCACACTGTACCCCTGAGTACTAACTTTTAACACTCAGCAAATATCGAAACAATATCAATGGAGAACTGACAGAATCCATCAGAAATCATCACCGTCTTCATCATGTCACCCAGGATGAGGATATTCTTCGGCGATGGCAGGAGTACTTCGAGGAACTCCTTAATCACGAGCAACCAAAGGAAGACTCGCCTGTAAAGCAGCAGGGAATAGATATTACCATCTCTGTAGGAAAACAAAAACAAAATCCACAGTACAAACTGTGACGAGCTCGAAAATGGAAAGGCTGCTGGAATTTATGAAATCCGCCCTGAAATGCTCAAGACATCAGGCAACAAGGCATGTGCTAGCTCATACGTGTCTGGCAAACTGCGATGACTGCAAGAAAGACACCAGCGGACTGGAGAACGGGACTTATTGTACCCGTATTCAAGAAGGGAGACCACAAGGAATGCTCCAATTATAGGGGCGTTATTGAGCCTCCCAGGTAAAGTCTACACAAAGGTGCTAGAAAGGAGGAGCCGTGAAATAGTTGACGTCAAGATTCAAGAAGAACAGTGTGGCTTCCGGCCCGGTCGAAGCACCTCTGA